AACAGTTTATTTTGCGACATCATGAAACAAAAGATAGCGTAAAATGAAACGATAGACGCGTTTATATCGTCGTCCGATATATATCGTTATATCGAACAGCCCTAGTGTAGGCACTCTCTGTTGTACCATAAGACTTCTTCACAACCTTTTCTCCCTGTTTCCCTTCCTAAAGAGTGGCTTCATGACAGCAACCCTTTCATGAAGACCATTTCTGATGAGGCTTCAGTGAACAGTAGATGGATCAACTGAAGGTGCAGATACATCTTTCAGTTCATGTGTCAGGCCTTTGCTGGATTTTCTCCTGTTTCTTAAGAACATGACTTGCTCATCAGGGGTTTGCATCTTTTTGGCTTTTTGGCTAAAAGGGGATTCATGATGTTGGTGTTGATATCTCTACCAAACTGCGTTATCTTTGGTATTTTTCATTGATTGAAAGAAAGAAATTGGAACAAATTTATATGTTTCTTTTTTTATAAGGCTGGTAATAAGTGCCTAAAGACAAAATATTAAACTGGTTCTTTTCAAAGGTATCCGTTACGTGTAGAAAAAACACTGGTTCATCCCTTGAGTTAGATGCCTATTTTTTTTGAATGACTCAAAGGTCAGTGGATAACAAAACAAAAAAAACCTTTCTTTTTCTGAAAATGGCCCGGTACAAGGATTGAAGTAAAAATAAGTGAAAAAGCAGCCAGTGCCCAAAGAAAAACTTTAAAAGACCTCCAGATAGCCTGAAAAAGTAGTCTGCCTCCTTATAAACAAAACATAATGAAATGAGGAGTTGCTCAAGACTTTTTCACACTGCTGTGGACGGGTTTATTTTTACTGCAATTATGATGACACAAACCCCAGTTTCCTGGCTGGAGTTCAGGTTTCTCTGAGCCATCATACATAATATAAACTTTAATATAAACTTTATTACTGTTTTCTAAGCAGAAACACTCCTGTGTGTTATTATTAGCAATCAATATGATGTTTCTTTGAATATGTTTAGGGCACGTACTGAATGAGCTAAGGATTTTAGGAGTTGAGAAATGTCCATAGTTTGTTTTACAAGTTTGAAAAATAGTGTTTCAAGTTTCGCTTTTGTGCTTTTTTGATAACTGCTGTGGTATTAATGGAGAAGGACAGGTCATCAGCTAGGTGTACACCCAGGAACTTAACACTGCTGAGCCTTTCCACAGCAGATCCATCTGTGGTGAGGTCTGTGTGGTGATCTCTGCCAGACTTCCTGAAATCGACCACCATCTCTTTTGTTTTGTCCACATTGATAGTGAAATTATGGGATCTACACCAAACTTCAAGCTGCTCCACGTCCAATCTATAAGTGGACTCATCGTTGTCAGTGATGACACCAACCACAGTTGTGTCGTCTGCGAACTTCACAATGTGGTTAGTGCTGAGTCTGGCGGTACAGTCATGTGTGAGCAGACTGAAAAACAGCAGGCTCAGGGCAGTTTTGTATTTCCTAAAGAAATTCAGGGTTTGTAATGTCCGAAATTAATATAAAAGTTTGGAAAAAGTTTGGTTATTTTTAGTTTGGACAAACGTTAAAACAGAAAGCTGGGAGGTTAAAAGGGTGTACAGAGTTTAAGCAGGGTATTTAGAGATTACACAGAAAGTCTCCAGTTCAAATTTATTTAAAATCAAAGATGGAAAATTGTAACTGAAAACTACTGGTCTGTTTATTGGAGCAGGGATGAAGCATGAAAGGTAACCTGACTTGTCTTTGGACTGCTAATTGAATGTATTTTTTACAGTTGTGCCTGATTTTGTGTAGCTCTGGAAAAACTCACCTGTCGTTTCTGCAAACACTCACATACTGTATGTCATTTTGGTAGTCAGGAGGCAAATGAGTGGCTTTCTCATCAAGTCATTTTATTTTGTTCTGTCCTTTCACAGATGCTATGAGTAAGACAAAGGCTAAAACGGAATCAGAAAGGTTAGTGAGTCATCTGAAAATGTATGTGAATTCCAGATAGTTTAAAATTGAATCCAGCCATGATGTTAGCCTGTGCTGTTTTCTTGAGGTTGTCCCCTGGAACAAAAGCATGATTTCCCTCAATTTTCCAGACTTATTGGTAACAACTCAGCCTGGACAGAGGCTCTGAATGATGTCAGGCTGACTGCTGAATGAAATAAAATGGGGAAAGAAACAGATGGATATGACCCATGAGAGTCTTTCTTGACGACATCTGGCTAGCACGACTTTCACCATAAAAGTTTAATATTAATCCCTGCAGCATTTTAGGGTACAGTTGTGCCACTCAAATCCAAAAAGCAGAGTTAGTAAAAATCAGAGCGACTTCCATCATTAAGTTTCACCATGGATATGTATTGTAGATAAAAACAATGATTGCCATGTTCCTCATTGCAGATCATGAGCGCTGACCTATAAAGAATGAGCTTAAAAACTCAGAAAAGACGATTACATTGCTATTACATCAGACTCAACAAGTGAAAGGTTTATTCACTTAGTCAGCTGGTTCAAATGGGAACAGCCTGACTTGGTGCCAGATCCCACAGTTTGCCTTCAGAGGTCTTGCTGAGTCCATGCCTTGGTAAATCTAAGCTGTTTTGGCAGTAGCATGCAAGTAACCAGCAAACATAATGCCAGCATTTGACTGACTGCTCTCCGGCTTTTAAAGGTAGAAACGCAAAATGATGACTCCGCGGGGGTCTAAGGTAGAAAACCAAAATGACTGCTCTCCGGGGGTCTAAGTCATAAGGTTTTGACCCATTGATATATGGGTGTTTTGACACAAAATGGTTTATAATGTGCTTCTAATTCACCCCAGCACTCACTCACACTTACATGCTGATGGTGGCAAACCAAAACCCATTAAAGACACTTTGGCAGAAGAGCTGAAACCAAACATGCATTTTGTGGAAATTCTAACATTTCCTGAAACATGAGCACTGCTTTACCACATGACAACAATAAAGCTGTGATGAAAAGACAAGAAAAAAACAACAACAATGTGATGCCCTTATACTAAAATTCCAGTGGTTAATAGTGTCATGGTCCTGAGTCTCTGAGCCAATGTTTTGACTTTTGCAAAGTTTATGGTTCATTGAGTTTTGTATTTTTGGTTATCATTTAGGACTTTAGTTTTTAAGTTCTGGTTACATGTGTAATGTGGGTTCTCTTTACATCTTAATTATTGATTTGTATGTACTTCTCTGTGACTCAGTTTAGTATGGCCACCCTCAGTGTCTCTTTGTTTCTCATTAAGTCTTCATTTATGTTATGTCCTGCTTCATTTTGGTACTTCTTTGTCTTTTGTGGTTTGTATATAGTTTTTTTTTTTTTTTTTACCTTGTCTAGTTACCTAGATTCTGTTTAAATGTGCCTCATTTGCCCCCTTGTGTTCAGTTCTTTTAATTGCCCTCTTGTGTGTATACGATGTCTTCCTCATTCTACATAGAGTTTTTCCACCAGTTTAAAATAAGACTGTGCATTTGTGCAACCTGCTAGTCACCCACCTACTACAATGACAGCCACCTGCTTGCCAGATCCTGCTACCCCTAAGTCTAAGTCCTCTGAAAGGAAGTGTTGATTTAGGCAATGCTGTTCAGCCTCATTGCTGCAGCAATAGCACAGCAGCAGTGTTCACTTCCCCTAAATGCTTTCTTGTGTGTATATAAGCAGTGTCTTCCCCTGAGTCATCGTCACAGTGTCTGTTTTTGGTTCTTGTGTCTTCTCTGCCTGAATTATTGGATTCCTCTATTGACTTATATTTTATTTAATTTTTGATTTTCCATCTATTTAAATAAAGCTACATTTCCAGTTTATTCTGTTGCCTTAAGACTTTGAATGTGTTCGCTGGTCCACTGCAGGATACTGTGTCAACGTTATGATTTGATTTAATCTGATATAAAAACTCCACCTGGATTCAAATCATTCTCAATTCTTTTTTTAATTTGTATTTGACGGTGAATGCACTAACACATATCCCACCCCCATCTTCTTAAAGGACTTAAACTCGGTCCAGCAGTTTTGCTGCCTCTGGTTCAGATCCAAACACTATTGAAATGAACCAAGTTTCTCTCCAAAGGGATGTTTGGTTTTCAAGACCTCCTCAGCTGGCTTGGCACCATTATAGCATTAGCCACCTTTTCCTGACTCTTTGACTCATACATGTAAGAAAGTAATGTGTTTCCTCCTTTGTTAAACATATTTCTGTCAAAAGGGGCCTTTGATGAGTTGCAGTCTCATAATTCCCACCTTGCAAGTGTAGCTGCATTAAATGAATGAATTCATTGATTGCAATAATAGCATATGGCCAAAGCAAATCTTGGCTTTTCTCAAGGCCCACCAGTGCGTCTTGTCACATCACACCACTGATGTAAAGGATGGTCAACATGCAACAGTAAACTGCTCCTTTTAAATCATTATACAGTAAATGCTGATTGAACAATGTAGTGAGTACAAATTAATAAATCCTTTGCAGTTCTGTTTGGTTTTCTATAAGGCCTACTATACTATTCTGAATACAAAATCTCCTGGGAAATTCAAGGCTAAAAGGAAGAGGATCTTGTTTATGTTACCTCTGCGAAGGAGGTTATATCCTTGTTGTTGTTTTTTTCATTTAAAGGATCACTTGGAAGTTTATGAATAGATTCAAAGTTTTTACCAGGGGTGGTCTGAGCCTGCTTTTACAGATTATTCTGGAACATATCTTTCACCATTCAGATTTGACATTTTGGTGTCATAATGTCATAAATACATATAAAACTGGAAGATGTAAAATTGGAAATTTTAGTTTCAACTGGCATACTGTTTTACTAATTAATGCAGGGCCTAACCTTCTACACAAGCCACAGCCAAAAAATATGGCCACCTATTTGGTGTTTCTGTCAACACTGACATGGTGGACCAAGTCGACCTATTACATCCTTTGGCACAATATGAGGTTGAATAAACGCACGTAAGTGTTACATGAACTGAATGACAGCAAGGTCTGCACCAAACACACCAATGAAATAAGAGTGTTACGCACCCTGCCCGAAGCGTCCAGTCTTATGAACCTCAGTTGCTCCTTGGTATCCCAGCATCCTGCAGACTACATCTCCATCCTTTTTATCCCAGACATCATCGCACACGGTTCCCCAGCGATGTTCATGGAAAACTTCCACACGGCCTTCGTGAAGACCTGACCCATTCACCAACCGTACCAAGGTCTCCTCCACTGAAAACCAAACACACAAAACAGAAGCTTTGTATCCAGATACACAAATGCATTGGCAGAGGGATTCCTACATTTTTGCTGCAACTATTTAGTGTGTTTGCAGAGTGTTTATAAGCATTCCATTGTTATTTATGCCAAAAAGACAACAATAAAGGCCCTCGCTCATTTTTGGAGGGACTCATTCATTGTGTTTATAAGTTTAATGAAGCTCTGTGAATCACATCAATATGAAAACAAACTGAGATGAATGGTTTTTTTTTTTGACATGCTGAAAAATAAAAATTCCATAAACCACAGAAAAACACTCTGATTTAAGAAGAACAATAAATAAAAATACCCTGGAAACTTTTTGTGTTCTTTTGTGAACCCTCTTTAAAAATTTTGACGTATGTTTCTTTCTGAATATACTGTTTTCTGTGATTGTAAAGCCTATAATATGGCAACAATCTCACGGATGTGAAGCGAATCCATTGAAGGGTTTTGAAATTCATAACTTCCTACTTTGGAACTTCACAGTATGCATCTGCAAGCATTTATCCAGTTTAGCTTATTTGAGCACTAAAGACTAACAGCTGCTTAAAAATACTGAGGAAAGGAGGGAAAGTGAGTGAATAAATAAAAGGAGAGATAGAAACTGTAAGTGGACATCAAAGATGAGAAGTAAAAAAGGAGACAAAGGGATGAATTAAAGTAGATTGCTAACAGGCTAAGAGTTTTGCATAGTCAAAACATTTTTATAACATTGTTAAAAAAAACTGTAAAGGTAGGGGTGTGGTAAATTTGACTGAGGATTAAGGCAACACTGGGAGCTTTAAGTTACTGACTGAGATGGCTCCACTTTGTTTCTGCTATTTGTTGCTTTTGAAGTATTTTAATTTGTTTATCTGTCAAATGTCGATCATGTTTGTACTTCGGTTTTGATGCAAAAACTTTTAGCATTTTATTAGTCCTTACTTTACACTACTTAGCAGATATGCTTGCACCCATAAGGTCAATGGATACAGCAATGCTCTGGTTCAAACATGGTAACTTCTGGCTCCCCAAAAAAACCTAACAGAGAATTAGGCAAAACATTCATGTTAAAGCTTCAAAACGTAACCTAACACTGCGACTACACTTTATGACATTCTTTTATACACAGTCTCTGTAAAAGATTCCTCACATAGGTGAACAAAACAACCATCTCTGTATTATTGTTGTTGTTCTGGTTTGACAGAGTATTTTGGCTCCTGTAATATAATAAAAATCTAAAGGTTGAAATATGGTCGCAGGGCCCTGGAGTGTAAGCTATCACAGGGCGGAATTTTAGGATCATCCTTTTTTGAAGGAAGCTGGTTAGTTTTTAAATTTGTAAACCTCTAGGAATGCATGTAAATAAAAGTACTAGAGATGCCCCATTTTCATGGATTTAGGGTTGGAAAGCCTTGCTCAGGGGTGCCATGTCCACAAACTTGCATGTAAGAGCTTACAGAACAAGTGTGTGTGTAAATGAGTGTGTTTGTTTTAGCAGAAGCTTCATGGCTCTGCAGTTCATCTGGTATTCCTCAAAGTATGCAGCAGCTGTTCTCATGTGATTGATTTGATTTATCACCTTTCAGAGGGCAGAGAGGAAATAAGAAGAAGAAGAGGTAAACACACACTCGCAGCTACACTTTTCTGAACTGCTCATCACTGTTAAGACAAAGTGCCGCAGAGTAAAGCCAGACACATTATATAGACAGGATATTAGTCTCATCAGACCATCATACATTTTAACTGTGTACCATTTAACTCTCATTACAGTCAAGTATTTTGCACTCACTAGCCCATCATAATTTAATATCTGCTGTATTATTATATTGTCATAACTGCTGCACTGTATGATATTCTCTCCTGAGAACCAGCAAATTCAAACCAGAAATTAAATATTATTTCAACCTTCTGTTGTACTTTTGTACTGCAGGAGGTTTTTTCAGGCAACTCTACCCCACAAACTGTTAAGAGTAGAGCACCACATGTTTCGTTTTCAGCTAGGGTCAAGCATTTGAATTACTTGAAACAGTTATGTTCACTCATCAAACAATAACACAATATAATTTTTGCTATTGCCATGCATATAAAAATGATCACATTGATTAATAGCCCTTGTGACTGTTTAGTACTTCTCTAAACAGCCAGTTTACTATATATCCTAAAGCTCTTCTCAGCCAAAATCTGAAGCAATGACACCCAGCATGCAGTCTGCTAAATATTACATTTCTATGCCTATTTTGGAAAGGAAAACTTAAATCACATGCTAATGGAAAGTATATCTTTTCTTACTATATGACATAATACAACATCATCCACAACTTACAGGAACTTTTCCAGCTCATTTGACAGTATGAGAGTGTCCTGATACCAAGAACAGCCAATGACATTTGTGGAATGTGTCATTTCCTTTAATAACTGCATGTTAATGAAGCAAGGCCGACAGGTTAAGTAACTCAAGTCTTAAATGCTGCATCATTTTTAGCTTTGCATGCATGCATGAAAAAACCCGAGACATGGAAAACGATCTTCTTACATCCTTCTCTTACTATACTCTATGGGGTGATAGAGTATCACTAATGTTCATCTGTTTCAGCTCTTTATTAGTTTCTTTCGAAGAGCTTGAGAATCAGAATCAGAATCAGAATCAGAATACTTTATTGATCCCTGGGGGAAATTATCCCCATGGAGAAAATGAGAGACTGGGGAGAAGATAAAGGAAAGGAAATGCTCCAGAGGTACCACATGTAGACTAATCTGAGCCATACAACAAAGCTTCACAGGGATTTATATCTCAGTCTATGGAGAGCTGGACAGCTGAACTCAGTTGAACAACGTCATGTGTGTGCTTTGGGTTACAAAAAAATTGGTACAATTTAGGCAATGCACGAATAACATTCAGTGAATAACACTGCAGCCTCTGAAACGGCAAGAGTTGGACATGCTTTCAAACAAAAACAAGACCTGACTGCACATTAACCACTTCCCTCAAAAATGCTCACCTAATCATTTGTAATCACACTCATTGTTTATCTACTGGTGATAGTACCCTTTCAGCTAAAACTGGTCATTAAGATGTGCTCATATTTTGTACAATAATAAGAGCTGTGTTCAGAGGATTTGAAGTATGTAAGAGCCTAGGAGTTAGGGGTTGTCTTTTTGAACCCAAAAACAAAATTGAATACACAAATGTCAAAAGGCAGCTCTGAGACTAAACTTTGAGAAACGTGATTAATCTGACTTTCACTAGTTTGTTTGAATCATCCAAACAAACATGCTAACAATTTAGCCTAGTGTGTGTCCTGTTCACGGAACTCAGTACTAAGTTAAATATTCAAACACTTTGAATAGGATAACAGATAACATCTGTTACTTGTATGCTTTGGTCTATATCATTTTGTTTTTATGACTCATGTAGACAGCTTTGCAACCTTTCCAGTTTGTTTTAAAATGAGTCAGCCAGATGCTATACTAGCATTTTGAGTGTTAGCTCAAATAGCTAGTTGGCTGTAAAAAATATACAAAAAATATGCCACAGATGGTTGTTGAAATTATAAAGTTAATGGTTGTAGACTAGAAATAAGAAGCAAATATTTGCCTGACACTGAGGACATGTTGTTAAGTCATTAGGAATTTTGAGCAATACAAGGACAGAAAGGTTGACAGGTTTAGCCAAAGTAACTAGGGGCAATACATTATTTGGTGAAATAAAAAGTGGGGTAGTCTAGATATAATAACATGTCAGCATAACCACTAATTACATTTTGGATCAGAATATGTGGAAACAGGTTGGTGGACAAAAGTCCTCTGAAATGTGTTTCCCACTAAGCCCTCAACTTTGTATAAGTAATGACTTTTTCTACTGACACATGCTCACAGAGACAAAAGTCACTTCTCAAATTCCTTAAAGTAATTAAACCAAAGGTCAATATCCTGGTTTCTAACTTATGCCATTGGTACAGCCTAACAGCTTCTGTCTTACATTCACTTTTGACAGCCAGCAAAGTGATTCATCATAAAACAGAGGCGATCTAATCTGGACATAAATCATGTACTGCTTCTGTAAAAGTAAGGAAATTAAAATGAGCTTTGAGAGATATAATGACTGTTTCTGTTCAGTGAATACTAGTCAAATGAGCTTCAACTGCTGGGGGCCTTCCAAGTGGTTCAAGCCTCTGAGGCCAGATAAGCTGCAGCAACCACAACATGAAGGCCAGAACATGGAGTGATAGAGTATTACTAATGTTTTTCTGGCAGGCAGGAAGAATCTGTACTGGATCGAACTACATGGCTCCAAGACAGCAGCTAACTAGATCCATCTGTTCATAACATCTTCTTTCAGCTGCTCCCTTCAGGGGTCACCACAGCTAATCATTTGCCTCTAGCTCACCCTGTTACTTGCATCCTGTCACACCAACCCTCTGCACATCCTCCTTCAATACCTCCTTGATGCTTCTTTGTGGCCTTACTGGTTTCCTTCTTCCTGCCAGCTCCATATTCAACATCCTCTGTCCAGTATGTCCAATATCACTCAAACCCTCTCAACTTTGCCTCTCTAACTTTATCTTTTTTGTAAAACATCCCTTTCACTCTTGCTGATCGTTTCCTCACCCGCTCCACCCTTCCTGTACTCTCTTCTTTGCCTCTCTTATGCACTGTCCATTGCTTTAGATGGAGAAGTACATTCTGATATTGGATTATCTCATTTCTTGACACTGAAAGGCCACACTGACGAGAAATGAAAACTTTCCTTCATGTTGATTTTCACATTCAACTACATGGTTTCTCATGAGCTCAAGTCCCAGGACACACACAAATTTCTCGTTTTTGAGTCAGAAATCTGAACTCGTTAATGTTTGGATCTCTGTACCTGCTGATGTGCACAGGAAAAACAAACAATAAAACAACTACACTTAATGCTGGAGTCCTGAGGTCAGCTGTCAAACTGCCAGATTTTATGGCTGTTGTAATATGTGAGGTCAAGAAAAAAACATTACATCAATGTTAGCAATGACCTCTACATGAAAAGAACATTTTGTTACATGTTACATGCCCATAGGAAAATATCTCAAAGGATTTGTAACAGGCAAATGTTTGGCATTTTCACCGCCTCAATACTGAAAATCAAAACAAGTGAGAAATTTCTATTTATGATAATCGGTTTCAGTAGAACTTAGATTCATAGAAAACAGTATTGAAAATGTTTGTTTTCAACACTAGTTTACAGTGTGTAAACCAAGCAATCAAACAGAGACCAAGATTTTACATTTTCTTTAGTACATCTAAAAATAAGTAGCTTTACACTAAAATGCAAAAACAACCAAACTCCTTTATATCCTTCCTTTTAAAATGTGCTATACCTTTTAAAATTGTCATTTTCTTTCATGTTACATTGGGGGCGTATTTTCAGCCAGCTCATAGAGCGACTGTCATTGCCAGTTAAGAGGCAGCTAACTAACTAAGAAAAAGTTGGTTAAAAGTTATGGGGGGAAAAAAGCTGACATATTTTAACCTAAAGATCTTTTTGTAAACATAACAGTAGATTTAATGTCTAAACCTTTCTACCCTTACCATAATCAAATTGTTTTTATTGCTCAAACCTAATGTATCTATCCTAAAGCACTTTGAGGACTCCAGTACAACAGAAAAGTGCAGGATAACAATCAGTCCATCTACTATTTACCAACTAATGAAACCATGTATTTCCAATGAATAAAATTTTAAATTAAAAATGATCAAAATTTAAAAAAACAAAACAAAATTTAATCAAGTATGAAAAACATTTAGTGTCAGCAGCAACATTAATTGCTCCACAATTTTGTGCACATGGCCACGAATCACTACATGTGAGATGGAAAGATGAATCGTCTTGCAAAAAATGGATGGTACACAGGGAATTCCATGTTCAGAAATAAGTAGACAACAGCAAACTGTTGTAAGACCAATTTGAGCTGGACATTGTCTTAAACATAAGCACAACTACCATCAACTGATCACAAAAATATATACAACATAGGTAAAAAATCAAATACTTTGTGCTAGGATGCAATACTAGCAATACATACAAGATAAAAAAACTGTTTTTAAAGCCTGTTGATTAAGAGGTTATTAAATCCAGACGTTTGTGAATTTGCAAGAACCCACTGGCATTTTTTGGGCAAAGTTTGGGATCTATGCATGTAGCCTAATTAACCCAGTAAATCTAAGAGATCTTTATGCAATGTCTTTATGTAATCAATGCTAATTAAATGTAGTCAATCAACCAAGAAAGAAAAAAAATTTAAAGCCTAATGGGCAAAACAACAATTACAACACAGCATGTGTTCAACGGTGCTGGCATGAGGAGTAAACAATACAGTCAACACCCAGCAATATGCAGGATTTGGATAAATTACCATTGCATTCACAAATATAGTAGAAACAAAAAATTAACTACAAAAATCAGGAAGACTGGCGCAGTGCATTATATAAATAGCAAGATACATGAGAATGTTGTTCATATAACATCAGTACAAGACTAAATTAATGTGTTTATTATTTTTCTAGTAGTTGTTTCTTTTCTTTACCTTTTTTCTTTCTGGCATGCCTCATTACTCTTTTTATTTGTTTTGTTCAGATACAGTAGAAAAAAAAAATCTCATCTGTCTTCTTGGACATAAGATTTTGCTGGAAATACATACAATCTGGACTCCATTTGTTCTTTTTCACTCAGAGACAATCACTCATGCTTCGAGGAAAGCATTTGATTCTGTCAGTGACATAACATACTCTTCAGCAGGTTCATTTTATGGTAATACCCAACACATGTGGGCTAACGCTCCGTTTTCCCACTAATTCCTCACAAACTTTTGCTTGTTCTGGAAAGTGATTACACAGGTATGAACTGTTTGCTTTAAAGTGTAAAACAATTGAAGTCACGCATCCAACAATAAGTCGGTTGTGACAGAAATACAAACGACGTTATGATTTGAAATTTCTAACAGCCAACAGCATGTGGGCTCAGTCTGTCTTTTCTTCTCTGAAACATCAAACATCCGCGTCGCGTAAATGACGTGAGGAAAGAACTGATCTTTGACGGCTCTGTAATGGGCAGAAACGGCATTCATGTGGTCAAGGGATCAGGATTATTTGACATGAACACCACCCCATCACTCGGCACATGCAGAACAGTCATGGTGATGCAAAAAAGAAAGAAAAATACAAGCATGGAAAAAAGATGTAATGACCTTTTTCTTTCTACTTTGTGGTTTTGCATTCGAGTTCAGGTTACCGCCACAGGACTTATACTTATTTTGAAATCCTTTTGATGTACACTGTGAGATTACATTAAAAACAAATGCACACCTACCAGCCTTTGAAACCATGTTCAGCTCTATGTGATTGATATCAAATGAACCAAAGATGAATGAAAGCCATAAAGTTATCACGTCATAATTTATGGTTGATTTTGGATCACACGCACCGATAGATGTGAGGTACTCAGACTTTCATTCCTGTGACTGTGAAACACGTACAACATTTGAAATGATACATTACAATATTCAAAGTACATTCTTACAAAAATGAAATAATTCAGAAGTTTGCTAAACATTTCTGTAAATGCAAAACTTGCTTAGGCCTTCTATTTGTGATCACTTCTTGAACCAACATACTGGTTGGAATCACCTAATGATCCCCATATGTAGCTGTTACATCCTGTGAGGCTGTGGGAGTGTGTGTGTGGGTGGGGTGTTTGCCCACTCTCTCCGCCTCCTCCTCTCTTGCCACTCCTACACTCTCCTCTCTCTCCCCAGGACAGCTGTTTTTGATAAGCCTCGTTTGCCACCTGAATCCAGTCAGCAATCACCTCTGAGGCTATTTAAGCTGGGGATGAGCTGGGAGAAAGATGGGTTTTTCCCCTCTGTGGTGTGATGCAGTTTCTGCTAGGTTTTGGACAGACAGCCTCCTAGTGAGTAGATGGGCTTGTGGGCCCTGGAAGTGTCTCCCTTATTTGTTTGGTAGCTTTTTCTTTTGTTGCTGCCAGTGTTTCCTTTGTTTCTTTGGCATTATTGGTAAAACGGCGTTGCCGGCTCTTTAAGTCATTTGTAATAAAACTATATTATTTGTAATAAAATTATATTATTATTATTATAGAACAACTCTGTCTGTTTATCTTCAGGTCAGCCACTAACCAGAAAGTCGGTGGTTCAATCCCAGGCTGCTCCAAGCCAAATATCCTTGGGCAAGATACTAACCCCATGTTTGCCTACTGGTGGTGGTCAGAGGGCCCGGTGGCGCCAGTGTCCGGCAGCCTCGCCTCTGTCAGTGCGCCCCAGGGCAGCTGTGGGCTACAATGTAGCTTGCCATCACCAGTGTGTGAATGGGTGAATGTAGTGTAAAGCGCTATACAAATGCAGGCCATTTACCATTTTACCATTTAAAGGTTAAATATGGATAGAATCAGCTCAGTTGGGCACTGCTACCATCCAGATATCCTTCAGCATGCATGGTGAGGGAATCGATCTTGGTCAAGGCTTACAGCTTCATACTGACCTTGTTGATTTCTGTGTCTGAAAGTTTGGTTAAATTACAAGTAATCAACATCCATCCATTCGCTTCCGCTTATCCTTTTCAGGGTCGCGGGGGGCGCTGGAGGCTATCCCAGCTGTCATAGGGCGAGAGGCAGTGTACACCCTGGACAGGTCGCCAGTCTGTAGCAGGGCCAACACACAAGGACAGACGACCATTCACATTCACTCGCACATTCACACCTAGTGGCAATTTGGATTATCCAATTAACCTATCCCCACAAGCTGCATGTCTTTTGGACGGTGGGAGGAAGCCGGAGTACCCGGAGGGAACCCACGCAAACACGGGGAGAACATGCAAACTCCACACAGAAAGACCCCGGCCTGATGGTGGAATTGAACTCAGGACCTTCTTGCTGTGCGGCAACAGTGCTAACCACCGTGCTAATCAACATAACAACAGGAATATAAATCAAAGTAAGTAAAGTGCTTAATTTAAAAACAAAGCAACCAAAAACACTTTGCTGGATTAGATGGTGGAAAAAAAGTCTCATTGGAATAATCTGCAGTTTGTTATGCTACTAATTAGTGGGTAGATTACTGTACATCTAATATTCTGTCCACAGTGATGTCTATAAAACACTTAATTTGCCTGTTGAATCTTTTAGCAGACCATGTTCCCTTTTTTACTGTTTCTGTAGTAGTTTGCCTGCATGCATGTGTGGTCATCTAATAACTTTGAAGCTGCAGTTACTGCTGCCAATAAGACATTAATGAAACTTACTGAAAAAAAGAGAGGGACTTGGAATCACTTAAAGGATGTTATTATTTTGGGGCCAAATAAAACGGTTGCAGGTCTGCAACTTTTGTTATTCTCATAGTTGTTCATCAAGAAGGAGAGTAGAAGAACAGAAGGAGTATAATATGTTTTTGTAAAACTGGTATGATAGTGTGCAAAAAATATTATAAATGCATTTAAAAACTATACAAATCAGGATAAAATGAACCTGTATGGATTGGTTCTTTGCAGCTATATTACTTGAGTTGGTACAAACAGGCAGAATGATATTACATATAACATTTTAGGTTATTTAATATTAGCTACAAACAGCTAAATAACACATTGTCCCTTGCACACTGTGGACTGGACTTGGCCATCATTTTCTCACCTGGTCTGTCTCCTCGCTCACCCCGTTCACCCTTCTCTCCCTTGAAACCCCTTTCTCCTCGGTTACCTGAGGACAAAACAGCACGAGACAACTGATTTACTGACAATGTCGATAATGATTACTTTAAAGAGTTTTATGTCACAGTACATGATGATTAAGCACGATGTAGTATAGAACATTTAGATAAAATATGAAATCAAGGAAAAAAGGAGGCTGGAACAGTAAGAGGTACTAAAAGGAAACAGCTGGAGGAACATTTTACAACAAAAAAGGTTAACTGGTAACAGGTCAGCACCATGATTGGGTATAAAATTGCATCTCAGAGTAGAGTTCTCAGAGTTTCTCAGAAGTAAAAGTGGGCAGAAGTTCAAAAATCTGAAAAAACAAAAAACCCAGCACCTACAAATTGTGGAACAAGAATGATATAAAATTGCAACTTTGACTATCTCGGGATCTATTTTACATGATTCATCAAATGATTCTGAGAATCTGAAGAAATTTTTGTACATAAGGGAATAGGCTGAAAATCAATCATTGGATGCCTGTGACCTCTGAGCCCTCAAACAGCACTGCATTAAAAACAGGCATGAATCTGTAGTGAAAAGCACTGCGTGGGCTCAGGAACACTTCCAGAAATCATTTTGATTACAGCTCATTGTGCCATCCACAAATGCAGGTTAAAGCTCCTTCATGCGAAGAAGTCATATGTGAAGATCATCCAGATGCCTCTGGCTTCTGGGGGCCAAAGCTCATTTAAAATGGTCTGAGGCAAAGTGGAAAACTGTTCTTCTGTCAATGAATCAAGATCTGAAATTGTTTGGGAAAACATGGAGACTGCAACCTCCAGACTAAAGAGGAAAGGGACCAGCTGGCTTGTTATGTGCACTCAGTTCAAAAGCCTGCATCTTTGATAGTATGGCTGTGCATTAGTGTCTATGGAATTAGCAGCTTAAACACCTGGAAAGGCATCAGCAATGCTGAAAGGTATATACAGATGTTAGGGCAATATGTGCTCCAATTCAGACAACAGGCCTTGCGTATTTAAACAAGACAGTGCTAAACTTCATACTGCAGCTACAACAGCATGGCTTCATAGCAGAAGAATCCTGGTGATAAAGTGGCCTCCCTGCAGTCCAGGACAACTAAAAGCATTTGGCACATCATGAAACTAAAAACATAACAAAGAAGGCCTAAGATTGTTGTGCAGCTAGAAACGGATATCAGACAAGTATGAGAACTCATTCCTCCCCCAAAAGTTCACCAGCTGTTCTCCTCAGTTCCCAGATGTTTACAGACTGTTGTTAAATGCAGAGGGGATGTGTTACTATTATCAAATTCTAACATGGGGTATTTTCTTAAATTTTACACCCTTTCGTACTGAGCGTGTAAATTCAGTCATTATACTGATCTCTTAGAGAACCAATATGTTAGTAAATTTGTCATTACGAATAGAAATGATAGTAAATACTTAAGTTTTGTTTGTTCAGTTAGACTGAGTGATATTTGTCATATTTTCATCCTACTTTACACAAAATAACAGAAACCAGGGATATGAGTTTAGGGATTAATCATGAATAACTGAAACTTGTAAAAATTGTAACAACAAATCAAATCGTTTTCAGTGTTTTTTGTCAAAATTTGGTTTAGTGAAAAGGGAAGGAGAGTTGTCTGTATCATAATATCCAATAAAATCCTGGTTAAAGTTAAAAGGGAAGCAAGCTATGCATAAACTGAACACAACCAAGACTGAATTACACACAGTGCCAACCGCAATGTAGCACAAAATGGGGCAGAAATGAGGTGAAAAAACAAGCAGGACCAAGAGCCATAACCCTCAGAGATGAGAGCAGCTCAACCACTGAGAAGTCTTAAAACATCTGAACCTTTTCTTCACTTCTCAATCATTTCCTCTCATTTGTATATTTTTAGCTAATGTCTCTTAAATCATGAGGCCTGTAATTGACTTCTCATACATGTGGCTACGCCCTGAATCCTCTTCTTAAATAAATTCTAAACGTTGTGGTGTATATGTGAATATTAATGCAGAGAAGAGCTGAAAAACAAAATGAAAATGCACTGACAAAAATCTTTTTAAGGTAATTGCTTAGGCTATTACAACATGGATGGAAAAGTTAATGGGATACAAAACAGCGACATTACTGCAAGTAAAAATCCTTGCATTTGTGGTTTGTGTAAAATTACAGTACATTTACGCACGACACCTCTCCCCAATCAGAAGCTTGGATACGACTGTCTTATTTGTTTTCATTTCAAAATATAATGTTATTACAAATTCCCATGAATTAGCCATCCAAAGTTGGAGAGCATTTCAGTTTCAGTGCCAGTTGCTAACTCTCAGCCATGAGGTTTAAAAACCACAAGTCTGTTTTTGTCATGAAGCAACGAGAGGATCGGCTTTGAATGGGCACTTATCCCACCTTTAATTTGACCACAGTGTAGGTGCAAGCTGTGGTGGTCCTCAGCCACATGCGTTACAGCCTGTGTGTGTGTCTAAGCAGGGCAGCTAGCCCTTTATACACACCCTCCACGTGACGTCCTCAGCCTTCAGTGTCACTTCTATCCTGACCACATCCTTAACAACTAAATAACACTGCAGGGAAAACCTAAACACAGTGGTGGGCTACTGCTGAGCCACAAGAGACAACAGATGCATCTGATTTAAACCCTCACTGAGAAATTCTGCATACTGGTGGTCCTGAAAGGCAGCAAAGGGTAAGATGAGGGGAATTTTGTAAGGTAATTTGAAGCCTTAGTACAAATATTTATGGTAACCCTCAGGATAAACTGTCATAACTTTGATTAGCATCACACTTTTCATCTAGTGCCAACAGCAAGTAAATTCTTAATTTATATTTTTGGCTTATGAACAAATACCTTTAATAAAAAACAAATGAGCGTCAGCTGTATTTACTATTTTGTGGTAATGAGCAAATTCAAGCATTCCAGTGTGCTAAACCAATATGGTCCACTGTCACAGCTACACAACACCTACTAAAGATCAGTATATTCATTATCACTGCATTCCAGTAAGTAATGGCTCTAGACTTTTAATAATGTTTATGTTCAATGTGACCCATTGTGGTTTTCATTTTTTTTTTGTCAAAATGTTAAAATGTTAATGTCAGAAAAATTCTCAAGCCTAGTGACAACTGGCCAGTGGATTAAGGTGCAAGTCAATGATGCATTTAAATAATATGGGTATTCCCATAAGGTTAATTCACAGAGGCACAGATGCCATAATCCCAGCAAACATGGCTTAAAGAGACCCTGACATAATGTTGTGCAGGGTTGGTTGTGGCTCAGGTGGTTGAGTCTTATTAAAAAGTACTTTAAATGGTCAACTGAGGAGAAAGGTGTTATATAAGCACCTTCAAACTCTTTTCATTTGTATGACTGAAGTCTCATTTGTTGTACAGTGAACTTACAGTAACATGTCGGACTGTTAAAAGCATTATGTCTGACTGCCCCTTATGTCAGCCTTATAAACCATGTGATGCACAGTTAGCAAAGTAGCATAAGGGAGCAACAGGATGCGAGTTTAAGTCAACCTTGTGGTATACATTTTTTTCCTCTTTCCACCAGCATGAAAGGAAAGAAACGTATGGTATATCAGCAAAAAAAAAAAGGCAAAGACAAATATCAGCTAGACAGGGAAAATATTGTTATGCATTAATATAATTTTTTTTAAATCATCTTTTGATATGGCAATGAAACATTTTTGGGAACTATAGACTAATAAGAATCATTAGGTTACTTACATATAAGCCTGAAACAAGGCCAAAAGTTTTAAAGTTCTGAGATAAATCTGTAAAGGTCAGGCTTCAAACTGCTCTTAATGCAAGGTTTCTATTTATTTAATTGTATGATCAGCTAACAACAGCTCTTTACTAATTTTGGCCAGCTGTAAATCTGAAAAGGTATGACAGCATGAGAGCCACAGAGAGACAAAAATAACGTCTAGCTTATGAAAAAACACAAGACTAAAGAGTCAAGCGGTTTTCCGTAAGTGTTGGTAGGAACCAAGGTAGAGTTGAAAGAAGTTGCCCTCCAGGGGCCAAATTGCTAAAATTGCTTTGTGTGTTAAACAGTTTGCTAACACCTTAGCAGTAAACACTTCACAATGTCACAGCACTTCAGAGTTGTCAGTTTTTTACTGTCCCCCAGTGGCTAAAAAAAGTCCAGCTTTACGCACCCAGAAATACCATAAAACACTGTCAGCAACCACAACTGATCTGACAACCAAAGGAACAGCCAACACCTTCTGCAGTCCCTATATATTCTTCCCACCGTTCATCTATATAAAACCATGAGACTTCCCAGTGCTGTTTTTACAAGTTTTTTGTTTTCCCTCCTCCCTCCTGGATGACTGTCTTATACTGAGGCCCCATTCATAGCCGAGTCTCTCCAAAGCCTTCCTCCTTCACTGGTCTGTTAAACCTGAAACTGCACCACAGACGCGTAAAGCAGAAATACACACTACTACAAGCTACCGGGATCTAGATGTGAAGGTTCCTGTGTCCTTCACTTTACCTTAATTTTTGTTTTTTCTGTGTAAAATGGTTATTGGTGTGATGTTTTGTATTGCTCACTACATAACTAAGTTGTCAATCAAATGATGCAGACAATGCCAGAGTTTTTGTAGGTGACAATCTTTTCACGCCTGCTTGGTCATAATGGATGTAAAGTGAGTTTTCTTCTAATGGCTTCAATCAAGCTTATGTCATACTATTAAAATACAGGACATGTTTAGCAATAAATTATAATTCCCTCTACTTTCAAGACATGAGTGACAGGCAGTGGTAGAATATGACGTGCTATATGTATAAGAACAGCTTTTGTGAAACCCATGTTTAAGGACTCTTCATAGAGTCACTTTTTACAGTAAAACAGTAGTGGAACATGTCTGCTATCACTACAGATACATTATATTAAAGAGACATCACATAATGAGGAGATGTGGCACTCCTGAAATCTATGGAAAAACAAATAATGGAAGAATTGTTCTAATCTGATATGACTGCTGATTTCATCCAGTCATCCACACAGTGGTGATAGCAAGCTACATTGTAGCCACAGCCACGCTGGGGCGCACTGACAGAGGCAAGGCTGTCGGACACTGGCGCCACCGAGCCCTCTGACCACCACCAGTAGGCAACGGGTGAAGTGTCTTGCCAAAGGACCAAGAGTGTCCAAGCCGGGGCTCGAACCGGGAATCTTTCGATTACAAGGCGAACTCCGAACTCTTCAGCCACGATCGCCCGTGAGATTATTTACATCTTTACATTACATTTTAATACTTTTGGTGTGCACTTAAGGCAGGAGTCGGGGAACTCCAGGCCTCGAGGGCCGGTGTCCTGCAGGTTTTAGATGTGTCCTTGATCCAACACAGCTGTTTTAAATGGCTAAATTACCTCCTCAACATGTGTTGAAGTTCTCCAGATGCCTGGTAATGAACTAATCATTTGATTCAGGTGTGATGACCCAGGGTGATATCTAAACACAGGACACTGGCCCTTGAGGCCTGGAGTTCCCCCACTCCTGCCTTAAGGAGTAACAACAGCATTATGTGCCCTTTCCCTAGCATCCTCTTCATATGGCCTACTTCATTATAAATTTGATTTAAAGAACTGAAGGTAGATCTCCTCGATTGCCATCGAGCATATCCATTATCTGTATCACTATTGTGTTGCATTGTGGTATAATTCAAGCTGATGAAGTGTCCGGTGCTTTCAAACTCGAATTTTCTACCAGGAATTAGTCCTAACAATGGGGTCTATTAGGAGACCCCACACTATGACCCTTCTGCCACCAGATATTTGGTTTTTGTCTCATTTTATCTTATTCTCCTGGTGCTTTAGCATCTTTCTTCTAGTAAACACAATAAAAACAGTCTTTTACATTTGTATAAAATGAGCATGAAAAGGCACATTATTTTACACTATGTAAAAATGCCTAAAAAAGGGAGAGTTGAGTCATAACAGCTAAGTGCAGGAGACAACAGGTCCAAGATTTCAAGAGCTACCGGCCAACATTTGGACTGTGGGACTTAACACTGGACAATTCAGCCAAACCCCGATCTGATTGGCAACAGCTGTCGGCTAAAGACACATTACACGCATACATACACAGTGACATGTCCACACAAGAAACTCTTAGACTGCAGTGCCTTATCATATTAGTCACGGCTATGATTAATTCAGAGCTGTGTTTATCTCAGTGTGTGTTTGTTATTATTGGCGCTGTCCAGCCCCCGATGGGGTTTATGTAGATTTAGAGAGATGATGAGAGAGTATAAAGACAGCAAATAAGAAATAACAACATAATGGACACTATCCAAGCTTAAAGATGGCATTTATCCTTGTTCTCACATTGTGGAAAACATGTAAAAACATTTACAGAGTGGAATGGAAAACTACTGGTAAATTCCCCACACTGTATATAGTGATATACTGAGTTGTCAGACAGTATTAGTTCTTCATTATGGATTTTGCCACATATAAAATATGATCCTATTATAATGATAAAGGTGTGTGGGTTCTATTCAAAAGTACCTTTAAATATGTTATTCAGGTTTCTGTGTCAGAATGTGGTTGAAATTTGTTTAAGTGCATGCTTCTTGGATCTTAATTTCCATGGTAGATTTGGAGGGGTTGTGTCATGACAACATGATGGATGGGGGCAGTAAGAAAAACTGGCTGGATTAGTGCATACTGGAAAATGAGTACGTACACACGCATCAACAAGTTTTCCTCTCTTTTTCTGACAGTTGTTCCATTGGAGCTAATAATATAGAAATATTATTGCTTTCCAGCTGTTTAGTTGATAATCACGGTTTCTGGTAACATCCAATAATTTCTTGCATTTCATTGAATGGAAAACCTATTAGATAAGTAGAGACAGGTGTTTTGCTTGAATAAATGGGAGAGTATAAGCGAATATAGCTCCCATGGCTAAAGACAAAAAGCAAACAGTAGCACCTGTTGGTGATGTAAGAAGTGTTGTGTTCCTGATAAATCCTGGTACGGAACTTTTTCAGTGACATAAAGGTCAACAAGTCATGGAGTCATCTGAGGACTGAGTCTTTCAGTAGGCAAGTGTTGTTAAGATTAATTTGTGATTTATACAAGACTACAGGGAGAAAAAGGACATCCGTACTGATGAGCTGCTGTGTGAGAGTATGACTAACTTATTTTAATGTGGCTACTGCTGTTGCTCCACAAACACACAACTGCCTACATAGTTTTAAAGCAAAGATTACACTCTATGTTGTTGTAATGAAAAAAAATTCTTTCTCTCTGCACAAGAGCGAACAGATTAACCAGAGAGCAAGAAGCAGAAATAACCTGCTAAGCCCACAATTTTTACTGTATAGGAATAATTTTACAATAAAATTGAAGGAAAATGTATCTTCTTCCAAACAATGTCTTTTTAAAAGCAGACACCTTATGCTGGTTGATCTGTACACATTTGACTAAGAGTGCCATTTAGCTGTTCTTGCATTAACTACTTCTTTTGACTCGCTTTAAAAAAAAAAAAAAGGAACAAAAATAAACACAGATCTGCAGAGAAGATTTTCAGGATGCTCAGGGTTTTTAAACCCGGTTGATATGATTCAGATTTTAAAAGCTGTTTTGAGAGAGCAGTGCCAAGCCAGTTTCAAAGTAAGTGACAAAGAAAGTAGAAAGTGGTAACTTGTGCTTTTTGTAAGTGCTGCTTCACACACAACAATGAAAAGTGATGAGGTATGGTGGATTTGAATGTCACCATCTAATTGTTTGATTTGAATCTCTCTCTCTGATTTGTTGATACTTGCCTAGATTTCTTTCTGTGTCATGCTTGGAATGACCTTTTCCACACATTCACCTTTTTGCTGTACTTAAACACATACACGGGGGCATCAGGTGCCACTCGATACTTTGATACGTAGATTGAATTAGTCAGTGATATCAATATATTGACCTTCTGACTGGTATATGACCCTCACCGTTACCTGCGAAGGGACGGCAACCTTCTAGCAGCTCTGTATTGTATGCTCTTGCTTTTCCAGTACTTGGCTTTCTCATATTTGCATGCATAAATATCAGTGAGCTCATAAGACCAGGCCAAGTTAATTAGTATTAAACTCCAAACTATTAGTATCACGACTCGCACCACAAATGTACCTTTAGGCCCGGCAGGTCCAACGTCTCCTCTTTCTCCCGGCATGCCATCAACCCCACCAGACCCTTTCATTCCCCGAGGGCCCTGGTTGCCTTTTTCTCCGGTAAATCCTGAAACACAAACAGACAATCATGAAAAAAAAACAAAAAAACAAAACCTGCCTGTATTTTGCAACTGCCATTCTAAAAAGGCCAGAGACCCCACTCATATGGACTATTTTGTACACTTTCTTCTGTTACTGGCAGCCAGAATGGAGCTACTGAGTCAACAGACAGGCAAATTTGATGACACACTGATTCTTCAGCTTGCAGATCTGTACTGCAATTCATGTGGAAAAAGAAAAGATGTGGAAGAATGGATGAGGATGAAAAGAATTGTAAACTCTAGAGGGGAGTGAAGATTTTATCGCCTGAGTGTCAACACTAACTGAACCAGACTGGAACATACTTGATCTAATCATGGTTTTCATTAGCTGTAATGTGGATCCATGGTGTAAATAAACAATTACTGAATTTCTGTTAGGGTCCAGTCATCAGGTCTCCCAGTCCTATCTATGTCATTCCAACACAGCAAACAAACTCTATATTATTCTTTAAAGTGTATTAAGGTTTTGGAAGTCCTGTTAATATTAGTCCTGCTCATGTTCCACCATCTGGAATACACGAAAAACATCTTTCGTTTTGCTCCTAAAACATATCCACTCCATACCCTGTGGCATACAATGAGAACATTTGTTTAGAGTAAGCACAGTGAAATGTCTCAAAATTAGTGTGGTAATGAGTTATTGATTACGCTGCTGAGGTGAGAGAAATCTTTTTAAAATGTCGCTGTGTTCTGACACGCTCTGATTACACTGTTGTGACTGTTCAGAAATAAGAATAAAATAATTAGGCATTAGAGCCAGAAACGCAAAATAAACCGATGATGGATGAGGCCATATAACTCAGATCAACTCAAAAACCCACTGGGAAAATGCTATCTATCATAATTGGGATCCAGGGCAGAAATGTTCTTTTTGTTCTGCAGGCGAGTCCAACTGGACTGCTCCACATGTCAAGCGTCCTGCTGGATGTGATGACACATTCCTTTGGCTTCGGTGCAAGTGGAGCAACAGAACTCCATGTAGCACAATATAAACACAATGTGTAGATCTAGGTTATTAGAATTGATTATTCTTTTTAGAACTGGAAACAACAGTCAACATAAAATAAACAGATAACATAAACTAACATTGCTAAGGTCATTAGTTTGAACAATAGGCAAAAAAAAAAAAAAAAAATTTGAAGAATAGGCAGTGTTGGGAAGGTTACTTTACTCAATGAGAGTAACGTATTCTGAATACTTTGGATTACTTAATATATTATCAAGCTTTTTACAACTACATGAATGTACTATTGCTGTGTGATTTATTACTATTACTGAATGATATTCGCCATACCAATACCTATGGAAGCCCGTTTCCGCCACTAAAAAAAAAAAAAAGGATCCATAACTCAAAATTTCGAGTTATTTTCTCGAAATTTCGAGTTATTATCTTGAAATTTTGAGTTTTTTTCTCGAAATTTCGAGTTATTATCTCGAAATTTCGACATATTAACTCAAAATTTTGAGAAAAGCAACTCGAAATTTCGAGTTAGCGCTGCCAATCAGTAATCTACGTGAATGACGTCATTTCCATGTTACCCGGAAGCTGAAGCCCTCAGCTACAAATGCTACAGCTAAGCTACCGGTATTACATCCAGTCGTGAATGCACAGATTGCTGAGTGTTTTCAGCCTGGCTTCACAAATGATGAAATCCCTGTGTTATTAGCTGAATCACATGGTGTTACTATCAGCAAACATACTTTAATTTGTTGGGATCCGTTTTTGAGTGCGCGGTCCTGCGCCATATGCTTCCGGGTAACAAGAAAGCGACCTCATTCACGTATATTTTTGATTGGCAGAGCTAACTCGAAATTTTGAGAAAAGTAACTCGAAATTTCGAGTTATGGATACTAGCTTTTTTCTTTTTTTAGTGGCGGAAACGGGCTTCCATCAATACCAAATAGATTTTTAAATCTTAATATAAATGAGTAACAGTAGGGTGGACATTAGTTAAGGCTGCACGTTTTGCAGCGATCTCCTATAGAAAACTATTTTGCGCATATATAAAACAGGTCCGGGGCTCGGAACCGTAGTAAAGGGACCTCTGGCTAATAAGTCGGGTTTGTGTCGGTTCGTAGCCGAAAATTAGCTTTACTTTGTTGTGAGGGTCAACTTTGCTAGCGAGAGACAGAGAGAGGCATTGAAAGACTGCTCCAACGGAACTTATTGTTTCGGAGGAAAACACGAACACGGTGTACAGTCGAGTCTTAATAGCTTACTTACAACTGGGCTCGTCAGGCACTCTTCTTGGCTGCAGTGGTTATTATTATATTTACATGCTTCCAGCTCCCGTTTCGGCTCGATGACAGCTCGTACTTTTCAACTCTCCCTTTTCTCCCTCCTCGCGCTCACAGACACATAGCGGGTATGGCAGTCCATTCTCCCTGCAACACAGACTACACTGCCCATGAGGCTACATTCTTTAGGGCTATGCCTGTAACACTCTGCCTATTGCCTTCATATTAAGTAATCTTTGTGAATAATTTTTAAAAATATTTTTTCACGTATTTTTAATACATTTACAGTTAGAAAGTACTGCATCTGACTGAAGAAGCGAAAGTATTTATCAGAATTAACATTCTCTTAGTGGAAGAACAGCCTCAGAATTGGACCTGTAAGCTTGTGTGGTTGACTTTCTTCTTGGTAAACACAGTAAAAGAAAAGCAGAACTGAACCAAGATTCAAGGTTATGGGAAGCTTCAGTTTACAAGACACCAAGTTCCTGTAAAGAGCTAATGTGTGTAATGGGATTCATAAAGACTTGACATCAGATTGTGTCACATGCATAAAAAATATTTATTTTCATAGTATGGAGGGAGAAAATGTGTGTTTCAGGAGTGTTTGGTGAAATAGATGATTAAAATTCCCCGTTTTCACCACCAGAAGTGCTACACAGCAATGATTTTATGTATAGGCCACTGGTTTGTCTATTTTCTCAAGATGATCTCTAGTTTTTCAGGATTGTGTGTGTGCTACAGTAGTAATCATAAAGTATGAATCAGAAATTGTTCAAAATAAATTTTAAGCTGTAAGTTGACTTAAGTTTACTGTACATATTTTGTTTTTGATAATAATGTTTGTGAATAAAACTCCTGCTATTCATTTTTATTCTTAAAACTAATTTGAGATAATGGCAGGTTTAGGATATACTGAAAGTATTTATTTCACACGGATAACATATTAAATGTTTCGCTTGAGTAAATCTAAAATTTTAAGAAAAAAACGTCACTTTCCATTTGATGGCAGTAACATGTAAGGAAGTGGTATAAAAAAAACCCAGCACATTTTCTTAGCTTAAACATTTGATTTGTTTTCTGTTGTTAATAACATAGAGGTTTATGTCACTTGCAAACCATTCTTTTTGGGAACTAGAATAATCCATATACCACTCCATCTGTTGAAATACAAAACTGTCATTCATGACAGTTAAACTGTAGTTTTTGTTTTGTGCTTTATTACTGCTAACATTAACAAACGCATGAAGGAAGGAAGTAACGTGTCAGCAAAACTCACACAGCAGGAGGCAGAAAATGTATTCAGTAGATTTGTTAGACCTCAGGAATGCAAAGAGCCCGCTTCGGTAAAAAACACTGCATGTTAAGTTAACTGTCCTCTTTTAATTGGTGAAGATGTTCCCACACTGTTTTGGTCTGTTCAGGTTGGATTTTCATAGTCTTTTGTAAGTTTCTTTATGTTTGTATTTATTTAAAAAAAAAAAAGGATATGCATGTTAACAAGCACTTAAAGTCATCATGCACATATGTCAGATTTAGCCACACAAGCTAATTTTCCTCTATAGTCTGACAGGCTGATACAATATTAGATTAATCAACAAAACCAAACATTGAGAAGCATGTGAACATAAATAAAAGACAAAAACACATACTCCTATAACAGATTAAATTGTGTAAAATTGTATGTAGCAGGATAGTAGTAGCGTAGTATATTTTCTCAGTTGACCAGTTTCCATATTCAGTGAAAACCACCTGCAGACTGTATCGCTAAGCTCTCATCCTGTCTTTGTGTCTTTGGACTATTAAATCTGAATTAATATGTTTTTCCATTTTATGCTGTACATCGTATTATGATTGCTTAGACTTATTTGGTGTGGTCTGGTATGACCTGCAGGAATTCTTGGTTGTTAGAAATGTTAAGAATTTAAGGAAAATAGCTTTAATTGAGTCAAACAAAAACAGCTGAACCCAAACGGACTTACTGCTACTAACTGTTTTGATTAAAAACCATCTCCCCTCTAAAAAGCCCTTTTTCACTGAAGTTAACATTGGGGGTTTCATTTTTCTGTCTTTGCTTTGGTCTTGCAGAGGGTTTGGTTCCATTCACTTTGCTAGATTCTTACAAATGTTAGGCCTTTGTAAACACTCACGTTAGCAATTTTTTTTTTTTTTTTTTTCACTTTTTCCTGGAACTATGGGCTGAGATGGGAGGGGGGTCCCCTTTCAACAGGAAGATAATGCTTCTTGGAAATGTTCATTTTCAGCCAGGGAATGTGGATGGATGATGACAGGAGACAACCTGAGGGGTGATGATTCAAGAGGTACCAGGCTGAAAGGGGGACCCAGAACATCTGGAATCATGATGTTATTGTTTGTATCACACCATATCAATGAAAAATAGCCATGTCATGTTTTGGAGCTGCTCACTGTGAATGCATGATGGTTTAAGCTGTATTTTTGGGGGAATTACCTGCAAGACTAAGACAGATGACACGTCTCACTGGCCCTGTGTAAAAATAAATCCCCACCCAAAGTCTGCACTTTGTTTTCTTAAGCAGCTTTATATGACCTTTAATTCTTTCCCCTCATAGTGTTATGAATACAACTGCATGTAACATAACCAGAGGGAGCTTAAAAACAGAAAGTGTCTAATTTTTCATCTTTCGTGTCACTCAAACATAAATCCTGGTATTCCAAAAAAGTCTTGTATCTCTTAAATTTGAGATATTCACATATATAGTTTAGCAATATTTTATAGATCATATGGAACTTTTTTTGTGGAACCTTCACGCCAAGACCCTTCCTTACCCTCCTTTCTTTTTTGTGTTCAGATAATTTGCACGCGTCTTCCAAAGCTGGGAAACTACATCAACTCCCACAAGTTAAGCAGATCAGGATGAAGGTTTGAAGTATTAAATCCATCTATTTTTTACATTTCTATACCTTCTACTTGAAGGAAGATTAATCTAGATAAAATACAGATAAGGACTAGATAAGTTTATTTTAACTAGATAAAAATAAACTTCAACATATCTTCATGAGGGAACAGTTTTTTTTTTTATCTGCTTTTGTTCACAGGCATGTTTAAATGTTTTTCAACATCCTGAAATCACCACATTCTGAGTCGCTATTTTAAATGCTTAAACAGTTCAAAATGAATATACAATATGTGCTTTTAGAGAGAGTTTATCAATCTGACTCAGGTTAGAAACTTCTTATGTGGAGAAAAGCTGGTCAAGACAAAAGGATATAAAAAACAATGTAGGAAAATCACCAAACGGCCAGAGTAATAAAACATTAGAATCAAGTTGTTTGGATGCCTGCTCAATCATCCAGGTAAGGAAATCCCAAAAAAGTGGATTCTGTTCATCTGGATGTGTTTTCAATTGACTTTTTCAGTTTGACTTCTTCAGTCTCCTGAAGAAGTCAAACTTTTCTCCCACTGAAAACACTACATCCAAATAAACAAAATCAACTTTCTGGAATTACGGAATCAAGTTATTTAATCGTCATGGGATTTGTGACACCTTTTACAGACTAATTTTCTATTCATCCATCCATCCATTCGCTTCCGCTTATCCTTTTCAGGGTCGCGGGGGGCGCTGGAGCCTATCCCAGCTGTCATAGGGCGAAAGGCGGGGTACACCCTGGACAGGCCGCCAGTCTGTCGCAGGACTAACACACAGGGACAGACAACCATTCACACCTAGTGGCAATTTGGGTTATCCAATTAACCTATCCCCACAAGCTGCATGTCTTTGGACGGTGGGAGGAAGCCGGAGTACCCGGAGAGAACCCACACAAACACGGGGAGAACATGCAAACTCTACACAGAAAGACCCTGGCTTGATGGTGGAATTGAACTCAGGACCTTCTTGCTGTGCGGCAACAGTGCTAACCACCGTGCCACCGTGCTGCCCAACTAATCTGCTAATTTTCTATTGGAGCAGTAATTGAAAACTTCACTATGAAATGTTTCTCAATAAATGGCTGGTCATACTCACCTCTCAAGCCAGTCAAACCAGGAACCCCAGGGGGGCCCAATTCTCCAGTGTCCCCTTTCTCTCCCTTAGGCCCTGGAGGTCCTGTATAAAGAAGAAGAAAAAAATTGTAATAAATAACTTGAATGCTGCAAGACAACTTGTCTTCAATAGGAGGCATACTTCTTTAAAGCTTTTCTCTCTTTTTTAAAATGTAAAATTAAGTAATATGTTGACAAAGAGACAAATCATCAGTTTGTTAGTGATTTTATGTTTATGTTATTATGCAAACAAAGATAATCCCATTTAAAACAGAACTGTTTTGTAATGATGTTGAGTCAGAAACATAGATTTAAGTAATATAAATAATGCTTTTCATGTTGTGTCTACATGTGATGTTTCTGTTGCTTTACTAAAAGATATAACAGAACTTTAAATGAAAATAAGTCACCTGTTATCTTGAGGTCTGAAAAAGGCTACAAATAACTTTTTTATTGATGACCTGCTGAGGAAATATCTTTTCTTGGAGATTAAATAAGAGCTTTTTGATTTATAGAAAGTGCATTAGGGTTAATTATACATTAAAAGTATGCTTTATGGTGCCTTCATTATTATTATCTAGCATGTTGGATGAGGAACATGTAGATTATCCCTTGAGAAGTTAATACATGGAACCAGACCTTTAATGCAGGCAGATAATAACTTTATTCATGTCACAAAACTATATTTATATTTATTACAGAGCCTATCACACACAAAAAGTGACATATCTGGCAAATGAAGGCCAAAGTGGGTCTTACAACTGGGCTAGGGCTTCGGTCCAAGCATTTGTTATACTTGGACGACTCCAGAGACTGAGTGAGAAAAGTCAAATAAAGAGAGAAGGAGAGCGAGAGGAGAGATATGGCTACAATGAAAACCACATGTTAAACAATGTGGACCAGAACTTGGCTTGTGGGAAAGCTGAGAAATCTGAGGACCTGTTAGTGTCCTGTGATTCTGATCCTTCATGACTCTAATTTGCAGATTTCTGATTTAAAGAATAGGTATAAGCTGCAAAAACACGGTCAAAAAATCCTCAACTAGTGGGTTGAGGATTTTGTATTTTTGTCTCCCAATTATGACAAATTGCTATATAAAATAAAATACAACAATTAAAACAGTATAAATGGATAAAACTAAATAAAAGCAAGCCTTCACAAGTTACTCTTACGATCTGTGGACACCGTCGATACCTTTAAAAAGAAGTTTAGGTCCAATGAGAGAGAGTTCCACAACCTGGGAGTCACAATCACAAACCTGCATTCTGTTTTTTGTCCTTAACCTGGACCTTTGTACAAGCAACAAGCACTGAATAACCTAGTAGTTACTTATAGATGTAGTAGATCACTAATATAGGGACAGATCTGAATGTGATCCTCGAAATCTTAAACTGAATCCTAAACTTTAACATAAAGAGGTCAGAATCAGTGTCACATGGAAGCTTTTGGTGCACCTGATGAGAAGACTTGCAGCAGCATTCTGTACTATTTGTAAGTGATCCAGGGATGATTTTTGCAGGCATAGGAATAATGAATCACAATAATAAGGGCATGATGAAATAAAAGTATGTGTAATCAGAATATACTTAATACTGCCAATGTTCTGCAGATGATAAAAACACATTTATATAATACAGCCAACATTCTTATCAAAACTCAATGCCTGATCAAAAGTAACACCCAAATTTCTCACAGTCAGGAGAACTGAACATGAAATGCGTCCAAAATTCTCAATAAGTGTGGAAATGAAGTTGTCAGGGGCACAGATAAGAACCTTCGTTCTTATGTTAGTATTTAAAGACAGATGTTTGGCTTCCATCCTGTTCTTTATAACATGGATGCAGTCCTGAGGACAGAAAATTTGGCTACATTCTGGGGTTTAAATTAAATGTACAACTATTATCTGTGTAACAATGAGATGCCTTCAGAGGTATTCAGGATGTGTCCAAGTGGACGCATATACAAAGCAAACAAGACAGACCTCAGAACCGTACCTTGGGGCACACCACAAAGTAAAGTTACAAGAGTGGAAACAAAATTAGAAGAAACAACTGAAAAGCTCTTGATATACTCGAATATATTAAGAGCTTAAGTCTCTTAATTAGAATATCATTATCAGCTGTGCCAAAAGCAGCAAAGTCAAACGTGGCCAAAAGAGTCGACTTTATGGCTTTTTAATTGTGAAAATTGCCAAGAAGGACATGTATTTTGAACTTCCATCTCAAGAGAGTCTGAATTTCCTTCTGAATGTGAAATGTAAATGTTTTTAAAAAGTACTTAAACCTCTTAATAGGTTATTAGGGAATAGTTTAATTGGACGGGTGCACTTTAGATTGAACTGGACTGTGTGCAGCCTCTGAACCAAAATGAGTTTGACACCATTAAATTAGTTGTAAAACTGACATAAATTAAATTGGCTTGATTACAGTTGATAAAAATACATCAGGCATTTTAAAGTCATGACAGGCAGATGACCAAATGATGAATTGGAATGATGAAAAATTGGCTAACTGATCTGTAACAAAAACTATATTTAAATGCAGTAGTTGTTAAATTAGGCAAAGGACTGAATCTACCAAGTGTACATAAATATTTTAGAAAGTGATGTGTCAGAAAAGGTTTCCATTAAAGCCTTTGTGCACACATCCTGAGCTGGATTTGCCATAAATAATACCCTGTTCACTCAGTCAGTAATTCCTTAGCAATTTTCTTTAATCCCACAATTTTTCTTTGGACCCACACACACATGTATTTTTTTTTTCAAAATACTGACAACCCAACGCTTACTTCAGCTTTAGGCAACCAGAGTACAGTCCTTTTAAAAAAAAAAAAAACCCAAAAAAACAAACTACAACCTTATTGCTTCCATTGGAGTTACTGAAGGTAAGAAGCAGCATGCTAACTTTGCAATGTTCAGAGAAACTGCTAAAACCTCAGAAGCTACGTCTCAGACACTATAAGCCACAGTTACCATGTTAAATGTTAAAGTTCATGACAGTAAAATTAAGTAAAATTAAGGCGGATTTGGAAGTGTTATCAGAACAAACTCAAAGTGAAGATCCACTATGGCTAGCACACAGCCTATAAGCACATAGTTCATGTCAGCATGGTGGTGGAGAGGGGAAGATTTGGGCTTGTTGTGCAACCACATGACCAGGACCTGGATACAGTCATTGAGTCAATCTTGAACTCCTCTACATGCCAAAGAATTCCAGAGTAAAATGTGAGTCCAACTGTCCGACACCAGCAACAGGACAATGATCGCCAACAAAATGACTGAAAGAGGAAAAGGATCAAGTTGTTGCAATGGCCCACAGTCCAGATCTCCACTCTGAAAATAGGGATAGCAGGACCTTCAGAGAGCTTTGCATAAACTGATGCTGCAATGGCAATGAACTAAAGCAATCTTAAAAAGATGTTATAAACGATTATTTCACTGTATAGTCTTGTGAAAACTTTGTTTTTCACATGACTGAGACAGTTTTGCCTTTCTAGGTTGGGTTAAGTTTAGGTTTATTACATATGATGGCCCAGACCTTATAGGGATAGAAAGATTTGCGGCTAGTAAGCAATAAATCAATACATTTGAAAGGAAGTACATCTGAGCAGGACATGCTGCTCATGTCTGAATCCCCATCACATCCACTCATAGTAACAAAAATGCACTGACACCAGCCAAAAGGCTTTTGGCTTTTAAGCCTAATCTTTTGAGAAGACATTTTACTCTGGTGGTCTGTAAAAGTTTGTTTAAGCAGAGTTTCACATTAATAATCTTCTGGCTCTCGAAGACACTAGTCAGCTGACAGGGTTTCAACAATAACAAGCCCAGTGGCCCCTCCTGGATCAGCCTGAAAACATCTGACAGCTCGGTCCAAGAATGCAATTCCAGTGAAGAGTTCAGGCGCCTCCGTCCAATATCCAGTCTTGTTACAAATCTGAAGTGTGGCCCAACAGCTCGTTTTGTTTTGTCTACACATGTGCAGTCCAGAAAAAAGATCATCTAATTTACCACAATAACAAATGACACAAGGCATCACCTGTGTTGATGTTAGTTGAGAATGCTTTGCTTCTTTTATTGATTTGCTTTCCTTCTTTTATTGATATTTATTTTTATTTTTTTCCTTTTTTTTTTTTTATCTTTCTTCCGTATGAGCTTACCTGCGATAGCTTCTGGACACTGGACACTTATAGATCATTAGGATTAAAGTGTTCTTAACAGTTCTTAACGTGTGTCTGTGGCCTACACACAGCTGAAGCCTGATTACAGCGTCTGGGCACCGAACAGCCTCAATAGCCTGGAAAGGTGCTAACCGCTAGGCTAACTAGCAACAAGATGCCTTCCCTCTCCACAGATGACTACCACAGCCTCCTGCAGAAGATTGCAGTACTGGAGACAAAAAGTCATCGCTTAGAAGTAAACGTGGTGGTAAATGGACTGTGTGGAAATGAAACAACCTTGCCTTTGATTCAAAACAATGGTGATGAGCAAGCTAGTACACAGCTAAGGAGCACAAATAACATGACCAAGAAAGTAGACTGTGCATTATAATAAATCCTCAAGCGATGATCCCCCTTGGACTGTCTTGGTGCAAAACCAAGACATAAATCATGTCTCCTGGAAGGGGGAGGACGTATCACAGGCAGGGCACAGCGAGCTGAAATCTCTGAAACTGACTGGCTTTCACTTCCTTCTTCTACCCCTGTATACGAGAGGAAACAGGACTGGACAACCGTGAATAGGAAGGTTAACAACAAACCTCCAAAACAACTGAATGTCAAACTGCAGAACAGATTTGCTCCACTATCAAAGGACCCTGGATCTATATCAGACAACCATCCATCTAAAAGTAGTAAAGTAAGGTCTGAAAATCTATTGAAAAGTGAAAGGCCACAGGGAAAGCTAAAGGCTAGGCCTGAAACTCTGATTGTGGGTGACTCTGCCGTAAAGGATGTAAAGGATGTGCGGTAAGAACACTCTGTCTCACAAGTCCTCTGCTTTCCTAAGGATACGGTCAAGAACCTGAAGGAGAGAATTCTTCAAATTGCAGATGAATATCCAACTGT